TTAAACAGTATTTGGAAACTGTCGTAAGGGCATAGAAAAAATAAAGAAACATTTATTCAAATAAGTCCATCGAATGTAGCTAAGAATAGTGTAATAGTCTGTTCTCGCACTGATATAAAGAACTACCTGAGACTGGGTAATTTATTAAGGGAAGAGGTTTAACTAACTCAAAGTTCTGTAGGCTGTATAGAGTGTGTAGCTGGGAAGCCTCAGGAAAGTTACAATCATTTTTATCATTATTTCTTGCAACCATACGTTACATCTACATTTATCTCAAAACAAAAAGTTTAATCTGAAAAAACAGGCCTAAGGCTTAACTTGCCTTATCAGGACCATTTGCAGTCTACTTTTTTAAGCTACTGTACCTTAAACGATTGAAAACTTATTAATTGCTGAATATATAATAACCTTTGCCTGTATAACTAAAAATGGTTTAAGAGCCAACAATTCAAGTATGACAATGGAGCAGAACAGTTTTTAATGCTCAAGCACTTCTTCTGTTCTTGTGCATGACTTGTATCCTTAATTTTCTGTGTGAAATTGTTATATTATTACCTTAGCTTTTTTTTGGTGGTGGCAGGGTGGGGGGGAGACAAAAAAAGAATGCTTGTTAAGTCAGTCAAAACATAACCATATCTTGTGAATTTTTGTTAATATACAAGCTAAACATTTCATTTGCCCAGAAAGCTCATATCATACATTTGGAAATTTCCGCTCTGCAATTTCTTTGGAGCTGACAGTCTGTTAGGTTTTTTATTTCATGCTAAAGTATCATTTAGTGGTTTTGTGAACTGGTCAGAAATTCACAGGTTTTAAGTGTCTTGGGGAAATTTCTATTAGACATTGCCCTTTGTCTACCAAATAAAAGATGTTAACTTACTCCTGTTTAAAAAATAGGCCTAGAAAATATAGAAAACAATTTTTCGTTTCCTTTCTTTCTTTTTTTTTAAATTTAAGGTGGAGTCTCACTCTGTCACCCAGGCTGGAATACAGTGGTGTGATCTGCAGGTAGAATATGCAGCTTCAACCACCCAGGTTCAAGTGATTCTTGTGCCTCTGCCTCAGCCTCCTAAGTAGCTGGGATTACAGGTGTGCATCACCAAGCCTATTTTTTTTTTTTTTTTTTTTTTTTTTGTATTTTTAGTAGAGGCAGGTTTGGCCATGTTGCCCAGGCTGATCTTGAACTCCTGGCCTAAAGTGATCCACCTGCCTCGGCCTCCCAAAGTGCTGGGCAATTTTTATTTTCTAGACATAAAAAAAAAGCTCTTAGAAAACAAAACAAAACAAAACCAAGAAAAGTCAGAGAATTAAAATTGATAGCTCTTATTACAAAAAAAATTTGAAACTTCTGTTAGTATAAACATTTTAAGTGAGAGAAAACAGAAATTATTTAAAGTATTGATATGAAAGGATTAGTATCCACAACAGTAAAGTATCTAAAAATTAGTAAGAAAAAGACAAACTATCCAAAAGGAAGATGACAATGGAATTGAAAAGGCAATCTACTGAATAATAAAAATATGAAAGTATGTTCTAACTTATAATTAAGGAAGTGTATATTAAAGCAATGACTCACCATTTTTATACCTATTGTCTTGCCAAATTCAAACCTGATAATAATTCTTGATTTTATTTTTGTAATTTTCTAACATTTGTAAAGGTTTTATATACACATAGAAAATTATAAGTTGATTTTACTTCTTACAATCCAGGTAATAGTGAATACCTTGCTCAACACAGCAAAAAGCATGAATCAAAAAGAAAATACCACTTGTAGGTTATATAAAATTTTGAAATTTGGAATTATCCTTTACTTACAATATAGAAGGTTAATAAGCTAAAAACAAAATACAGAATACAATGTATTTGCCATAAAGTTACTATCCACATAGCTACTTATCTCTCAGTAGCTATTCAGACACACACATACACAAAGCCCACACAAATAACAAGATTGGAATAACCTACCAAAGACTAAAAAATACATATTAAAACTATAAAATACTATTAATTTATTATATTGGCAGCACTTCAAAATACAGCATTAAAGGGGTTTTGGAAACTGAGGTTCTCATCTATTCATAGCATGGTTGCAAATTACTATACTTTTTACAAGTCAATGGGCAGAATCAATCATAATGGTACTATGAATTCCCTGTAGATTTTCCTTTACAGAATCATCTTTCTGAAAGACTATCAACCTGTCTTTTTTTTTTTTGAGATGGAGTTTTGCTCTTGTTACCCAGGCTGGAATGCAATGGCATCATCTCAGCTCACCGCAACCTCCGCTTCCTGGGTTCAGGCAATTCTCCTGCCTCAGCCCCCTGAGTAGCTGGGATAACAGGCACGCGCCACCATGCCCAGCTAATTTTTTGTATTTTTAGTAGAGGCGGGGTTTCACCATGTTGACCAGGATGGTCTCGATCTCTTGATCTCATGATCCACCCGCCTTGGCCTCCCAAAGTGCTCAACCTGTCTTACAAAATACAGGAATGTGAGTATGGTGTGAAGGTATGGTGTATGCACATATATACACAGACCAATGATGGATGGATGCATGGATGGATGGATAGATATTTAAATGCTCCATACAGCACCATCTGAAGTAGGGAAAAAGTGAAAGAAACTAATAATTAACTGAAGAATGCTCAAATAAAACTGGAAACACCATGTAGCGATTAGAAAGATTAAGGGAGGTAGGTAAATGAAACAGAATCAATTGCATTTGTTTTAAGCATAAAAAGAGTAGGTTTCCAAAGTCAGTTTATTGATCAGGTCTTCATCCTGGCAGCATTCAAGTAACAGGGGTATATATAGTAGGATATCATAAAGCATAAGAATACTAACTCTAGGACCAGAATTCTTAAATTTAAATCTGAGTCTTCCCCTCCCCTACTTACTAACTATGGTCTTGGGCAAGTCACTTAACCATTCTCAGTTTCCTTACATTTACAAGACCAAAAATAGCAGTGCCTACATCACAGTTTGTTGTAAAGTACATTTACTATAAATAAATCAGAGCAATGCTTACACTAAGGAAGCATTACATAAATATGGATTTTGCTGTTGCTGTAACAATTACATGTAAAAACACAGCACTGCCTGGTACATCATAAGTGCTCAATAAATATCCTTCATTATCATTATTATAAACCAGCACTCATTTTATGCACTTTTATGTTTGTTGGCATATGTCAATATGTACTTCTGAGTGATTTTGAAGTATATTTATTATAAGTACATGAAGTAACAAGATGCAGAAAACTACTATGTAACCAAAGAGAAACATGACTGATTACAAGGTTTAAACAAATTATTTGCCTAACAGAGTTAATAATGTACCAACACATTAGCTCTCTTTGGCTATATGAGAAAGTATTTTTTGATTAACCAAAAAATGATCAGGAAACCACTAATAACTCTGCCAGTGTTTGGCACCCTTGCTGTCAAAGTAGCGGTAGATAAGTTACCTTACTGGCACTGTAACAAACTACCACAAACCTAACGTACTGAACAACACAAATGCACTACCTTATGGCTCTGGAGATCAGAAATCCAAAATGAGTCTTACTAAGCTAAAATCAAGCTGTATTCCTTCTGAAAGCTTTAGCGGGACCCCAGTTCTTTGCCATTTCCAGCTGTAGTAGCTGCCTGCATGATTTAGCATGTGGCTCCTTCTTTGATCTTCAGAGAAAATCGCTCCAACTTCCCCTTTTGTCAGCACATCTTTTTCTGCCTTTGACCCTCTTGCCTTTCTCTTAGAAGAACCCCTGGGATTACACTGGACCCACCCAGATAATTCAGGATAATCTCCCCCTCTCAAGAGCCTTAATTTAGTCTATCTGCTAAATCCCTTTTGCCATGTAGAGCAACACACTTAGATGTTCTGGATATGACTAGATATGGACATGTTTAATAGCCATTATTCTGTCTGCCACACATGGGTCCCACCAGTGAGATGGAATCTGCAAGCAATTTGAGTTCAGACTGTTCTCCGGGCTACTCCATATTGACAGGGCAGGAGCACCATCTCCCACAAACACAGCCACTTTAAGTTCCAGCTCCCTTTCTAGCCTCATGCAGAAATCTCTTCTAATTACAAGCAGCCAGAAAGAACAGACAGTAAAACACAGATAAGACAGCTGGGGCAGAGAGGAAGGTACAGGAAAAGTCTCTTGGGTAACAACCAAACTTCACCCTTATACAATGGGCCCCAGTAAAAATAGTGGGTCTTAAGCACATTCCTTTCCCTTCAGGCACTAACACAGGGAAGCTAAAAGCAGACTTGGGGGATATGCCTGCAGCTGCACAAAGATATATGGAAACACAAACACAACTCTCCCTCCCAGATAAGCACAACAAAGAGACACAGAAGCAGTCCAAGCCTCTGATAAACTCTGATAAACCTGAGTCCTTAAAAACTCTTAGTCTGTAAGAGAGTGTGTACCTCTGACCTAGCTCAGCCAGAAGGTGCCACTCAGGTTTGTTTTCTCTAAAATAAATCTGTTTTGACTGGCAAGCTGCCTCTTCATGCTTCTTTCCTCTTTCTTTAATTCTTACACATATCACCTGAGCTCTGCTAAATATAAGCCTCAAAAGATCAAACCACCGGAAAAGGAATTTATAGTGGTGTTTCACACTCCTGCTTTGGAGGATGGCAGTGTGCCAGAAATCATGGTACTTAAATTTAAAATACTTAGAATTTAATATAGTATAAGATATAATATCATCATAATAACTTAAAAACATTTATATATCCCAGATGTAAAATTTGTGTGTACATGTCAACATTCCCCTGAAGGAAAAAAAGATTATGGTCTGTTCACCATTCTGTGCCCTCACCACTAACCCTTTACAGAGTACTTTACCCAGGAGAGAGTAATTTCTTTTAATTAAACGAGACTAAAAATAACAAAGTCCCTTTAAGACAGACCTATTTAAACATTCAAATGTTTAAAATCATTAAGAAAGTTTAAAACACAACTAACTTTACTTCTTACCATATATAAGATATTTTAGGTAAAGGCGTTTAACAGTTTCTTCCACAGTAGGTTTATATTCAAGGAAACATGTATAAATTCCACTCATACGCTCCTGAAAATTTTGGAATACAAGGCTTCCTGTGGATGTTATTTGTGTAGTGCTGTTTTCTAATAAAGGAATAAGATACAGTTATTAGACGCTTAAGTTCCATAGGCAAGTACCAAAACATTTTCTAAGCAAGGTAAAACTACCACAATTTACCAACACAGTCAATGAAAGGTGGTGGACATAGGTAGGACACTGTATCTGGTCTCTGCTAACAGTGGGTACCAGGATAACCTTCTCAGCACCAGACATTCACTATCCAGAGTTCATCGATTGTACTGTAGCCTAAGTAGTAGGAGACTAATGCTCCTACTCCTAAGTAGTAGGAGAATGCGCTCCTAATCTGCTACTTGCATCAACTGTGCAATATCAGAAATGCAGGACACCTATATACAAATACATACACACACATATATATAATATGTATATATATACATACTATAAAATAATTACATTTATATTTAATAATAAATTATGCCATCAGTAAGCTCACAAACTGTATATGAAACAGATAAATAATATTCCCAGAACAAAGGCTATCAGAATATAATCACTAACAAGAGATTTCTTATAAGTACATATAATATAAAGCAAAATTTGGCTTATAAATTTGAGGTTTGCACAAAAAAAAAAATAGTGGATATGAGATGACCTGACTTGCCCGATATCACATAATCACAGAGTTGCAGTGCTGGGGGTAGAACAGAATGTAAGCTTCCTTTTCACTTTAACATACTTATTATTTAGGTGTCATGCACACAGAAAACTGTGTTGTGAAATGGAAAGAAAATCTGCCTTTAAAGGCATTGAGACGGGCTTGAGACCTACCTTTCCCTCTCACAAACCGTGTAACCTTCAGTAACCACTTAATCTTTCTGAAATCCAGTTCCCTCATTTGTTCAATGAAAAATCATAATACATGATAGCCTATCTCACACGATTTTTCTGTATAACAAACACAGTGAATGTTAAAGTACACAAAAATGCCATAAAGCTGTTATTCTGAATGTTTGTAACCACAGTTTTTCATTAGAAAAATTTTTAGCCATTAAAATTTGCTTAGTCAATAATTTAATATTCCAATCATTAGAACTGAAAGTACTACCTAAGGAACTAACAGTCTATCTTTTTTCTATTTTGGGTAAATGATATATTGCTTATAAATTTTAAGTTGAAATATTCTCCAAAACAAATGATGAGTGTTCATAGGGATAAAATTTTCATTACTTGTTTTTCAATAAATATTTACTGAGTGTCTAGCACATGCAAGCTCTGCTTCAGGTATTGAAAGAGAAATAAATAGATGGATATATCCACCCTCGAGGAATTTACAAAGAGCATTATGCCTTGAGAACTCCCATTTGTATATCCTGGATGAAGCTGAAAAATATGATACAAATTTAGAATGCAGTTCTATTGTAATGCCTATTTCTTCATAATTATCTTTTGATGAAATATTACACATTCATCCTAACATGCCAAGGTTTTTATAAACAGAGGTAACAGTTTGTAAGTGCTTACTACGTATTTCAGCAGCGACACCTGGTAAGGATATGTCAGGTTCTCATAAAATTTAAATAAATTTTGGAATATTATGTCATCAATGAGGTATCAGATTCCTTGGCAATCATTTTAAATGGAAGAGTTTCTCCCACCAAGAGATAAGGCCATCAAGAAGACTAGCACACTCTGGGCAGATCTTCACAAGGAAGGCATCGATTGTAGATGAAAGGAAGATGCAGACCCTGGACTAAAGGAGTAAGAAGCTGTGGACCCTGCACAGGGTTGCCAAGCATCAGGACTTATTCTCAGTCCTGAATGGCTCCTGGGGAAGGGATAAGTTAAATACACATGGAGTGGCCCACTACAGACCTCTGGAATCCCAGCTACAGGAGAACCCATGGATATTTGGGCTGGCAAGGGAGAGCTTCTTGGACAGTTGGCATGGACAAGACTCCAGCCTGCATGGAACCCAGAGCATTTGGCATGGAAACAGTTTCAGTGGAGCATGGCCAGGGACACCATTCCCTAAGGCTTGCCAAAATCAGAGCTGACCTGAACAAAATTGAGACACAAAAAAAATACAAAAGATCAACAAAACCAACGATTGGTTTTCTGAAAGAATAAATAAGATGGGCAGATTGCTAGCTGGACTAAGAGAAAAAGAAAAGAGAATATCCAAATAAACACTATCAGAAATGACAAAGGGGACATTACCACTGACCCCAGAAATATACAAAAAGCCATCGGAGAATATTACAAACACTTCTATGCACATTAATTAGAAAACCTAGAGAAATGGTTTCATTCCTGGGATATATTCCTAGATTTAATTCCTAAGATACATTCCTAGATTTAATTCCTAAGATACACCCTCTCCCATGATTGTACCAGGAAGAAATTGAAACCCTGAACAGACCAGTAGTGAGTTCTGACACTGAAACTATAATTAAAAACCTACCAACAACAAAAAGCCCTGGACCAGACAGGCACAGCCAAATTCTACCAGGCATATAAAGAAGGGCTGGTACCAATCCAAACAATTGAGGAGGAGCGACTATTCCCTACCTCATTCTATGAGGCCAACATCATTCTGATACCAAAATCTGGTGGAGACAAAATGAAAAAAGAAATGTTTAGGCCAATAACCCTGATGAACATAGATGCAAAAGTCCTCAACAAAATACTAGCATAGCAAATCCAGAAGCACATCAAAAAGCTAATCCAGCACAAACAAGTAGGCTTTATCCCTGAGATGCAAGGTTGGTTCAACATATGCAAATCAATAAATTTGATTCATCACAGAAACAAAACTAAAAACAAAACCCACCTGATCATCTCAACAGACGTGGAAAAGCCATTCCATGAAATTCAAACTCCCTTCATGTTAAAAACCCTCAATAAACTAGGCATCAGAAGAACATATCCCAATGTAAGAAGAGCCATGTGTGACAAGCCCACAGCCAACATCATACTAAACAGGCAAAAGCTAGAGGCATTTTCACTTGAGAACCAGAACAAAACAAAAATGCACACCCTTGCCACTCATACTAACATAGTTCTGGAAGTCCTAGCCAAGGAATCGGGCAAGAGAAAGAAATAAAATCATCCAAATAGAAATAGGGGACTTCAAACTACTTGTCTTCACAGACTATTTGATTCCATACCTAGAAAACCTCATTGCAGACTGGTGAAGTGGCTCATACTGGTAATCCCAGCATGTTGGGAGGCCAAGGCAGGTAGATCATTTGAGGTCAGGAATTCAAGGCCAGCCTAGCCAACACAGTGAAACATCATCTCTACTAAAAACAGAAAAATTAGCCAGGCATAGTGGTGCATGCCTGGTGCATTACTGGTGCATTAATCCCAGCTAATAAAGGGTTGATTTTAATGATTTCTCCTGGCTACTCCCTATTGACAGAGCAGGAGCACCGTCACCTTGGACAACCGCCACTTTTAAGTTCCAGCTTCCTTTCTAACATCATGCATTTCAAGGAAATCGCTTCTCTTCTCATTACAAGCAGCCAGAAAGAGCAAACAGTAAGACACAGATAAAACAGGAGGCTGAGGCACAAGAATTGCTTGAACCTGAAAGGCAGAGGTTGCAGTGAGCAGAGATCACACCACTGCACTCCAGCCTGGGCAACAGAGTGAGACTCCATCTCTAAAAAACAAAACGAAACAAAAATTGTTTCTGTCCAAAGACTTCTAGATCTGATAAACAACTTCAGCTAAGTTCCAAGATACAACATCAATGTATAATAATCAGTAGCATTTCTATATAGTAATGACATCCAAACTGAGAGCCAAATCAAGAACACAATCCCATTCACAACGTCCACAAAAAGAGTAAAATACCTAGGAATACAGTTAACAAGGGAGGTGAAAGATCTGTACTATGAGAATTGTAAAACACTGCTCAAAGAAATCACAGATGACATAAACAACTGGAAAAACATTCCATGCTCATGGATAGAAAGAATCAATAGTTAAAATAACCATACTACCCAAAACAATTTATAGATTCAATGTTTTTCCTATCCAATAAATTTTTCATAGAGTAGACAAAAACAATTGTGAAACTCATATGGAACCAAAAAGAGCTGGAACAGCCAAAGTAATCCTAAGTAAAAAGAGCAAAGCCAGAGGCAACACACTACCTAACTTCAAACTATACTACAGGGCTACAGTAACTAAAACAGCATGGTACTGGTATAAAAACAGACACATAGACTAATGGAACAGAATAGAGACCCCATAAATACAGCCACACACCTACAACCATCTGATCTTCAACAAAGCTAACAAAACAAGCAGTGAGTCCCTATTTAAGAAAGGGTGCTGGAATAACTGCCTAGTTACATGCATAAGATTGAAACTGGAACCCCTCCTTCCACCACACATAAAAAATCAACACAAGATGAATTAAATACTTCAATATAAGGGACTCTTGAAGAAAGGGCAAAGCAAGATGGTTGAAGAGAAGTCTCCACCAATCATCCTTCCTGCAAGGGTACTGCATTAGCAACTATACATAGAAAAAATACTTTCTCTTAATAACAAAAATCAGGTGACCACTCATAGTACCTGGTTTTAACTTCATATCACTAAAAGAGGCACTGAAAAGACTTCTTAAAAATCCAAAATCACCAATGCCACCCCTCCCCGACCACCACTCTCACCCCAGTGGTTGCCTGATAGAAATAGTATCTCTGGGTACTAGGCGAGGGAGAACACAGCAGTTGTGATGTATTGAGTTCACTGATGTCCTGTTAGAGCAGAAAGGAAAACCAGACCAAATTCAGCTGACACCTGCCTATGGAGTGAGCATTTAAACTAGCCTGAACCAGAAGAGAATGACTGATACCAGCCACATGAACTTCAGTGCCTGCAAACCTTGCCAACAAGGTCTACAGCACTCTGTTTACTCCAAGTAAACTTGAAAGGCAATCTAGGCCATAGAGCTGCAAATCATAGGTGAGTCCTGGTGCTGAACTAGGCCCAGAGACAGTGAACTGAAAGGGCACACAAAATACAGACACCAGCTGGGGCAACCAAGGGA